CTCCATCGGTGTCAGCAAGACGTAGGGCAGCGGCGCTGGGGGTTCGCGAGCAAGCCTTCAACTTTGCGGCGGAGCGCGCCAAGAAATTGCTGTCCGATCTCCAACCAACCGAGTCGATAAAGCGCGGTGTCTACTGGTTTTGGCCCCGAGCTAAGCAAAGCAATATCGCCAGCGAAGAGCTGCTGGAGTTGATGAGACAGTACTGGCACACGGACGAGGTGTCACGCCAGCATGGCAACTCAGCTGAGCGCGACATGTGGAAGGAGAGCAAGTCTCTGACAGCTCACCGCCACCCTCGGCGGCAGCTTACGGAGCCGGGTGGGGGCGAGGCGGTGTACGCCAAGTTCCTCAACTGGGCGTCCTACAAGAGCTTCAAGGAGCGACAGAGCGACAACTTCACAGACCCTGGCCGTACACTCTTCCTCTCGACGCGTTGCAAGTGCCTGGTTCTCCCTGCAATGGAGCAGTGCGCGTGCAAGATCCACTCGCAGCAGGTGCTATACATCGAGGCGCTAGCCAATGTCGACATGACCAGCCACGGGGAATGCGATTGTCGATGGTGCAACGTAGATGGCGGCCGCAGGTGGCGGGAAACGTGGAAGCATATGGGCACTTTCTCCGATGCAATTGCCTGCCCCAAGGTCAACTTGCGGGCAGCGGATCCAGAGGGTGACAATTGGATGGGGCGGAAACCGGAGTGCAACGCTTTGGACTGCGCTTTGTGTGGGTTCGGGGGGACTGACGGCATTCCCATCTGCAGCATGCTGGAGACCTCCGAGCAGACGGTGGTGTGGAAGATGTTCGAGGACGTGATAACTGTGCCTACATCAGCGGATGGGAAGATCAAGGCCAAGAAGCTCGCCAACCAGACGGTGCCGAAGGAGGGCAAGCTTTGCGATCTTTGGTTGGCTTTCAAAGAGCACACCAAGCTGTACATGGCTCACCACTCTATCGCCAAGTGGCAAAGGCACTGCCACAGGCGTTGCTTGGAGACGTTTCAGGACGGTGACCTTGTCATCGAGACCGACTTTTCCGAGAAGTATACCCACCAATCTTACATCAGCATGATGATGCCTGTTCACCCGCAGACAACGCTCATGGTGGCCATCGTCCACTTCAACCCGCAGACACACGTGGGGGGTGGCAGGGTGCACGTGACGGAAACATGGATCTTTGCATCTGAGGACATGGCACATGACTGCGATTTCCACCTGCACGGCTTGGCCAGGATGGCGGACCACTACCTGCGTGGAGATGGGAGCGAAGCAACAGCTGCCGCCCGGAAAGAAGGCAGGTCGCCTCGGATTCACATCTTTTCCGATGGGTGCGGGAAGCAGTACAAGGGAAGGCGGAATTTCCGCTTTTTGGCCGACAGCGTCCGGCAACTTGGCTTCTTCATCGACCACCACTTCGCGGCCACATCTCACTTCAAAGGTTGCCATGATGGGATCGGCGGAGTCGCAAAGAACGCCATGAAGAGGAGGGAGAGATTTGGCAAGCGAATCATGGGGGCGGACGGGGTGGTCAGCTTTTTGCGAAGCTTCTTTCGGGAGAAGGAAGGCAGCGAGGGGGAGGAGGGGGTATGCGGAGGTACTTCGCGAAGTGGTCTCCGTACCGCATGCGGAGGGTGCACGTCGAGTTTATCGGTAAGAAGGAGATCTATTTGCCAAACTCGATCCTGGAAGGCGTAGAGGGTACACGAGAGATGTACCACNAAGGCAGCGAGGGGGAGGAGGGGGTATGCGGAGGTACTTCGCGAAGTGGTCTCCGTGCCGCATGCGGAGGGTGCACGTCGAGTTTATCGGTAAGAAGGAGATNCGAGAGATGTACCACTTTGCGGGAGCAAACACTCCCAAGTGGGATGGGTCCACCTCAACCAAGGGACGCGAAGATGACTGTAAGCTCGTGCTGAAGAGCGAGGGGCAGGGCCAGTTGTCGAGTCTAGAGAAGAGCCGGTTGCGGGAAGTCAAGGTGTTGGGTGCAGTAGCGAGCAGATGGAAGGGTCAGGGGGCTGGGTTGCAGGATCCGATATCGGGGGAGGAAGACGTGACTTGCAAGAAGGTGAAACGGACCTACAGTCTCAGGACTCGTTTAGCGTCGTGCTTCTGCTCGGCATGCCGGCGTTCTGAGTATGAGCAGTACTACGTTAGCAAGACGTACCCCCGTCTCGTTCCCGCAATGGAGGATGGCGTAGTGAAGGAAACGGTGATCATGGACACTGGAGTAGCGCCCGTAGACGAAAATTCCTCCGAGGGGATGAAGTTCCCGCGATACAAGAAGTATTGCACAAAGAAGAGAATAACTGGGACACAGTGGCTGGACGGCGACTCTGCTACTACTGCATCAAAGATTTGGGAAGAGCTTGGAAGGAAGGAAGAGCCCAATATTTTTGCCCGTTTCGGGAGGTGGGCTGGCGTTTAAGTGACATGCTTCTTGTATTTGCTCGTGGAGAAATGTTGGGCTTCAGAGCCCGTTTGAGGTCGAACTAAGGGGTGTGTGGGGGGGGCGGTTCCCGAGAGGATGTGTAAAATATCTTGAAATATTTTTGATTTTCTTGGCAAGGCGATGCTGTTCAATGTGTACCTGTATCTCTAAGGCAAAATCGAGTTGAAAAAAAAACACCGCGGATTCGTAATCCTCACCCAAAAATTACCCTAACCTGAAATTCTCTGATCCATCTAACCACTGTTCAAAACCGGGGATGTTTCAGGCCCATCCCCGGGTTTTTGCGTTTCGCGAATTTCCTGAGGGAAATAGCGGAAATGAGTTGAAACCCGGTCAATAATAGTACAACAACAACAACAATGCAAGATATACTCGTAGCATAGTAATGTGGTTTAATATGGGACATGGATCTACGGAGATTGCAGTTGGGAGATCGCGGAGGAACAGGGAGTTTCTGCTTGGTTTCTTCGGAGATTTGATGAGTGATCTGAATTGCATGACGGATAGGTGTGGTGACGCACTCTTCGGCTGCTCGGCCTCGAGTGGTCTCTGCCCTTCCCTCTTTCCTCTAATACAAGACTTTCCCATCTCGGCCCTCACTGGCCGAGCTGCCTTTCTCCACAAACCTACAAGCTTCGGCCTACCCGGTTTATCCAACACGCTAGCGTTAACGACTTTGTCGAGGGTGATTGGGTAGCGCCGATGGGCAGCCGCATGCGCGGCTGACCACACCCAACCAGACGAAGAGGCCACCAACGGCGAGGGCCTGCACAGCAGCAGCAACCCCAAGACCTACAGCAGCGCCATCGTCAGCTGCAGCCCGCCGTCTACTTGGGTAGTAGGCCCGCTCAGGCACGTGATGACTTTTCAGTTTCCTACTGGACTGTTGTTGGTATCAACACACCCATTGCGGTGATGCGGTACTCATAGTGCCGTCCGATTCTAAACGCGGCAATACGCCGTGCGGTACTGCCGTCAAACGCCAACGCTAACGCCACCTCCACCTCCACCCGGCACGGCCGTCAAACGCTCTCTCCTACTCTTTCTCTAGTATAATCGCGGCAACACGCTGCGCGGTAATGCCGTCAAACGCCAACGCTTACTCAATCAAAACGCGACAATACGTCGTGCGGTACTGCCGTCAAACTCCACCGCTCGGTCAAAGGCCGACTACCTGTAGCACATGGGTAGACCCAACCTAGGTTACCAGTAATCCTCAAAAACTGATGCCAGTTTCTAAACTGATGATATGATGTGTGCGTGTAGCATGGTATTAGAAATAGTATTGTGCGTAATGAAATG